AGGAGGGGGTGTATTTGTCAATAGAACTCGTAAACAAATTGAGAGAGAGATGGTGCGATGGTGGTGTGGGTACAGTAAGAGATCCGTACTTGAATTTTTTTTTTCTTTTTGTGTGTGTGAGTTTTTGATTTGTCTGTTGGTAAGAGGTAGAGGGATCCTGGTGGTTTCGTTGCTCGTCGTTTATAAATCCATCCGGCCCGTGTAGGCGTGTAGGCGTGCAGCGGGGCCCAAATCCCAACTGCAGGAATGGGGGTACCCACTTCTCGGGCTGAAGCCTGAAAACATGGGCGCATCGCATCTCTGTCGTCACCCGGACCCGGACCCGGTTCCGGTTCCCAAATCCCAACCCAGATGGTCGTACCGTAAATGGTATATCCGAACATATCATCCATCCTCTTCCTCTGTGGTCTGTGGTCTGTTCTCTGCCCAATGCCCATGTAGGGATGGTAATTTCCCTTGTAAAATCTGGGCCCTGCCCCACCCCGTCCTGAATGGGGCAGGTTTTTTCTGAGTGGGTATAGATTTTGTATATAATTTTTTGAACCCGAAGGTAAAATATCTCTAAGTTTAATATTAATATTTAAAATATCTCTAAGTTTTCTTAAATTCTTAAAATCCTAGAATTCTGTAATTCTATTTTTGAGGTACCCCAAAGTATTATAATTCGATTCCTAAAATACCCTCAAATTTTTATTTTATATGTATAAATTATCCACAAGATAAATAATTTTTAAAAAATTACCTTAATACAGAAAAAAAATTGAGAATTATTCATCCCTAACAGAAAGTGGATCAGGGATATGGCAAAAACGAGACAAAATATCTTAACTTCGGGGCGGAGATGAGAGAGATGCCCCGCTCCATTGCCATTCCTATGCCCATCCTTCTTTCAATACGGTGGTACTTGCTACATCACTAGCAAGATGTAGCCATTCATGTTTGTATACAAAAGAAAGAAACCCATAATTTGTTAGTATTTCCACATTACCCATAATGCAATAATATTATCCCTTGATCATCATATAACTTTACTTGCAAAATAAAAGAACATTTTTATGTACATTTATCTAAATAAATATTTCTCAAAAAAAAAAAACATCTGACCAAATTATGGTTTTTAAAAATGAACCGGAAGGTTAAGGGATTGGTTTTTGGTTAAACGGTTTAACCGTTTAGGTCGAATGGTTCAACCCGTGATGTTATAAATAAATTAAAAATAAAAAATCTATTTATAAATAATAAAAATAACATAAAATTAAATAAAAAACAGAAAATAAAACTACAAAACACATAGTAAATATAAAAATAAAATACAGAAAAAACACAAAAAAAATTCAAAAATTACAGAAAAAATAGCTTGAAATAAACCCTTAAATCTCTATGTAAAACTCAGTGCTCACTAACCAAGGGAATGTAAAAACCATGATTTTGGGTTGTGAGAGATGTTTGGCTGAAGATTCTTCATTCGTGAAATGAAAGACCCCTTTAAGGAGGAGGAAATTGATTTATTAAGAACAAAGATTGCGCAGTAAGACAAGTAGCTTGAAGAGGAAACCAATTTGAGTAGGCTATGGCACTATGGAAGCTTCTATCATCGTCTTTTTTCTTAGCAAGGCACTTAAACTGGAACTCACCCAACTTGGTCTAGTGTTTTTCCAAAAGAAAAAAAAAAGAGACAAACTTGCTGCAAACTCGCGACTTTGGATTGTTAGAGATGTTTGTCCACTGCAAACTCGTAGGACAATTGCTGCAAATTTGCCGCCCGCCGTTGCAAATTCGCCTGTTGCAACTCTTACTACTAGAGCTTGGAACTCTAGAAGTGCTAAAAAATATGTTGGCCACCGTTGCAAACTCGCCATCACTGGTAGTCGTTAATCGTCATTGGTTGGTGTGTGTCGCCGTCAAACACCGGAGGTGCTGGCTGCCGCAGGTGGTCAGTTGGGCATGAGGGTTGAGAGGAGGGAAGGGTTAGAACGAAAATGGGGTTCTAACCCTAAAGGGCCTTGAACATTCGATTTTGATTTGGGGAACACCCGCAAGTCATTTTATTTTTTGTTTTGTTTTTTTTTTTTTATTTAAAACAGTGAAATTAAAAAAGGATAACCCGCAAACCGCTGCCTGGGTCGAATGGTTTAACGGTCTGACCGCCTGGGTCAGTGATTTTCTGACTTTTTCAACGTTTTTTTAGAAATTTCTGATTTCTAGTATAACCGGACCCGGGGAGGCTGACCGGTTATCTGATTTTTCCTGTCCGACTGTCCGGTCCGGTCAGATTTTGAAAACCATGGATCAGATAATTGCATACATCTACCTAGATAAATGACTTAACAAAAATATCGATATAGAGATGGGTAACCTAACAAACCAAATATCAACACATAAGTATAATGTGAATTGATCAAATAAGTTCTCCATTATTCACTTTTTGGATGCTAACCTCTTTTCTTATCCTGAAACGGACATTTCTACCCTATTGGCATCTTACTAATCAAATTTAAGCCGTTATTATGTGTCTGTGGGTCATGATGGAGGACTGCTACCCAGTTGTAAAATGTATGTAGAAAATATGGAGTTGGGTTAACTCAGACTCACCACTTGACCCCATCGATTCAATTTTTATATGGGACCAACTGACCACATAATCCTGAGGCAATCCACTCAGTCCTTCATGAAAAGCGAAAATGAAGTCTCTTTAATTCAGTGATTCGTCAAATAACCTTTGGGTTGTACTTTGTTTTGGAGGTTTCCATTCAACTAGTATTTCGTGTTTTACATCTCATTCCAGTTCTTTTTGCTTTTTTTTTTTTTTTTTCTTTTTGGATCTGAAACTTTTATCCATTATTCTCAGATGCTCTACAAATAATTTTGTTCTCCAACCCTTTGTGCTGGGTACGAGGCTTCTGCAATTGTCTGTGTGTTTTTTGGTGGAACTTGCAATAGTTCTTATGGGCCTAATTTCCCTTGTATGATGTGTTTCAAGTTTCATCCACCATTTGGAATCACATATTGATGAATCTCCAGTTTCTAGCACATCCATATTTGTCTAGAACTTCTCATTCAATAGACTAATTCATATTTTTATCTTGTAGGTCCAGGCTGAAAAGAACTCAGGAGTGGTTGTGAAATGGGGCCGGGTTTTTATTAGCCGAAGTTGGGTTTCTGCCTGGCCCCTGAAAGCTAGGCCCATTATGATTGTATCTTAGGCTCAGTTTGGAAGAAGTACAAATACAAATAAGAACAGTGCAAAACCTTTGTATTTGTACTGTACATATTTGTATTTGTACTCTTTCTAAACTGAGCCTTACTATCTTTATTTACCGCTCTGGTTCCATTCAGTAACCGTGGGCAGCAAAATTCTCAAATCAAACCGATCTTTCAGTTTTGGTTTTTGATCGGTTCAGTTTTCAGTTAACTGCTGGTTCCGAACTGGTTCTTTGGTTTTTTAAAAATACCAAATCGATTGGTTTGATTAATCATTTTTTTTTTTTAAATTCGATTCGATTATTTCAGTTTTTACATGAATTGAAACTGTATAAAGTTAGCTCTATGGCTCTCACTCACTCATTCACTCCATTTTCCATTACAATAATTGACCATTTCAATTATTGTATCTAATAATATGTTGCTTACACGGAACACGGAACGACATTGATTTGAATTTTGAATTGGTGGATGCTTGAATAATTGAATCTGATGGTTTCTCTTTCTTTTTATCTCTTTACACGTGGCTCACATCAATCTATCTACAATCAAGAGGACTGCCACTGGGGCCCCAACACAAAAACAACTTGGCTCTGGTTGGAGTCTGGGCTTAGATTGAAGATGCCCTCATGACTATGAGCCATGAACAAGGGTTGAAGTTAGGCTGGGGGTAGACGCAGAGCGTCTCTGAGAAATGAAGTGAAATGTTTTAAGAGTTCATAATAGCATTTAATTATGTAGTCTAGGCTGAGTATGACACCGTCATGGTCCCCTGGACAAAGTAAGCCCAACTGGGGAACGGCCAGGAATTGATAGATACTTTTCAAGTCGGAACTCGGAAGTAAAACAGACTAAAGGCCCACTAACGCTGTCATAAACATCACTGAAACTGAAAAATGAAAAAAAGCATTGGCTTGCTCCTAAGTCCTTTCAAATTAGGAGGAATTGAACCGTGAACAGGTTGTTTACTAAAAAACGCGGACCCACCATTACTGAAAACTGATGGCAACGCCTTTTACCACTTTCTTTGGACTGGATAATTGACTTTACTTTCAGATTACGAGCCTTTTTCTTTATTATAATTTTTTTTTCCAGAGGATTTGGAATATCGTATGATTTGAATGCAGTTAAATCAGCCCAAACTTGGGCTGCCAGAGTAATCACTCCAAACAAGATTCTTTGCATTAATATTTAACATGTCTCCTTGTCTTCAACACCGATAAAAGGACAACCAATTGCTCAAAAACACTTCTCAATCAGCCTGGCTCTGGTTCTGTATGAGAACCCACTACTACACATGGGGGGAAATGAATTTAAGTAATAATAATAACAATAGTAGTAGTGGTCCATAAATAATTTCCTCCATGGCCCCTCTTATTACTTCAAAGCCTAGCCACTCCATATCATTAAATTCTCAACTCCAGCATATATCAGTTTCAGCAACTGGATATCAAAAACGTTCTTTTTTCAAGCCTGTCCGTGCATTTCCTTCTTGTTTTCAGAATCCCAACATAGTTTTGGTGGTCACAAATGAGCCCTAGATTATCTTTTTTTGCATTCGTTGTGACCTTTTCACCTTCTAAAGAATTGAGCCCGTCATCGGTAAAATTACAAAATATGGCTGCGCAAGAGAGAACATTCATCTGGAAACCACTCAAAGAAATTGCAGGATTACCAGCATACACCTGCACAGTGTGAAGGGGATCTATAGACAATTGACTTTTTAACTTTCATGAAAAGAAATTGCAGAATTCGGCGCATTTGAAATCGTTGTTTACCCCCCCCCCCCTCTCAAAAAATTGCTTCCGACAGTCCAATAGGATTTATCATATCAGTGAGTTTTACATGAAATGTCAAACCATTGCCAAGCTAAACAACAATTGATGCATAGCCCATACTGGTGCCAATAACGTGGTTACATACAATCAACTCTGATCTGAAAGAAGGCATTCTAAGCACCTAAGAAGTACTCTTTCTTTACATTAGCTCATAATTACATTAGCTCTATACAAAAAAGCTATGTTCAGTGTTGCAATAGCCATTTTCTTTCCTCAGAGTAATAATGAATCTAAACAGTGTTGCATGAACTTTATGGGCCTGATAATCACATCAACAAGACAACAACACAGCTGGTAAACTTGAATTGGGGTTAGCTTGCATTCTTATACAACATTGTGAGATTGATATTTCTTACCGCTTCCATACGTTTCTGCAAAAAAAAATGTGAAGCGGCAAGAACAGTTGTACACCCAGCATTCCTTCCAAAATGATTCCGTCTTAAGGCACAAGTAAAACTAGATTTTCCTCTTCCCACGTCTTCCAGTGTCCATATCCACCAGCCTCGATGATGATGCAGGCAATGGGGTTAATAGACCAACAGACTCTGGGATGTCAAGATTGGCACTTATTGATGGGCCAGAAATTACTCGTTTAATGTCAATTTCATGCAGTTGTCGAACTTCAAATCTTACTTTGTCAATCTGCAGTAAGTTTACAGAACAGAAAAGCATTAGTACCTATACCCTTCAGGATGAAGCTTATCATGATCAAATACTGAATAATTTAAGTGTCCATTTATTCAGCTAAAACTGATTGAACCTGATATCAAAGGGCAAAACTTCTTAAGAATGAATTAGCCACTGATCTTTAGGCCAAAAAAAACGTATTATAAAATTTTTTCAGAGCAAATTTGTTCCCTTGATGAATGAAAAGCTCTCATGTCCATCTATGGGGTAGTGAGAAATTATTTTTATTGTTGAAGGATACGCCAGTCAGTATCATCATGTACAGATTACACTTGCTATATTATTATCTTTGATAATTACGGCTCTTCCTCTCAGGCTCTCAGCTCTAGTGTAGGAATAGCATCAATATGCTCTCTATCAATGAAATGCATTTGATCTTTAAAAAATCTAGACCATTCCATCAATTACTGTATGCACAATGTCCCCAACCCATCAGTGTTGATTATACAAGCAAAGGGCCATCCTTAGATGAGCCATGGCCCAAAAAACTTGGGGAGTCAAGCTGGGGCTGAAAATGACCTTAGCTAGATCAGCTCCTTCATGTTTGAGCTGTAGTCTAGGGTTCATGGGCCAAGTTCAAGCCCAAAACTGACATTTTTTTTGCTAGATGAGCCTGAGTTGAGCTGGAGTGGGCCATACTCATTGAAACCTCAGCTCATTAAGGGTATATATAACCATATATTAGGATATGTACATACGCACGTGCATATACAGATGCAGATAAATCAAAGCAATAATTTAATTTGGCTAGTAAAAACAGTATATGACACTTAAATAATATTCTGCTTTAGATAGTTTCTACAGCAATGCCCCTTGGTCCTACTCATCTTGAAATTTGATCTCTTACAGATCTATTTGATTCATTACTATGGGGTGGTAGGGTAATAGGTCTGGTCCAGATTTAGTTTTGGTTTTAGATCTCTTCTTTCCCCTTCACCAAGCAAGTTCTGCTGAATGGTAACTGACCCAAGCATAAGTGGAGCTTTAAATAAGCTAGACATGAGCTTGGCACTGTAGGCTCCAGACAAGCCCAAGTATTGCCCTAGAAGCCATACACCCAAGCCAAGGAACTGCACCATTATATAACTTCATTGTATTTGAAAGAGAACCTCCCAGTCATACCTCTTTTTAGAAGTCACTCTTAATGTATTGCAAATATTGGTATTGGATCAATTTTCAAAGTCTTGAAAATTTAGCAAACAAACATTTCCCAGGTCCTGATAACCAATAAACTTGAGAACCTACCAATCCTACTATTTGTAAACACCAACAATTTGGAGGCACCTACATAAATAGCTTATTTAAAGCATAAGTGGAGCTTTAAATAAGCTAGACATGAGCTTGGCACTGTAGGCTCCAGACAAGCCTGAGCATTGCCCTAAAAGCCATAAGCCCAAGCCAAGATTATAGATTTAGCAGGAACTGCACCATATATAACTCCGTTGTATTTGAAAGAGGATCTCCCAGTCATACTTCTATTTAGAAGTCACTCTTAATGTACTGCAAATATTGGTGTTGGATCAATTTTCAAAGCCTTGAAAATTTAGCAAACAGACATTTCCCAGGTCCTGATAACCAATAAACTAGAGAACCTACCAATCCTACTATTTGTAAACAACAATTTGGAGGCACCTACATAAATAGCTATCTGAAAATGACTGCTGTTCTTGTGGACACATGCTGACACTGACACTGAACTGAATTTGCACATGAACTGCAAATTTGTAATACTTGATCATTAAGTGTAATCATTCAAGTATAATTTATCTTTATAGTTAAGTATTGTTTGCATTAATTTATGCTTCTAAAGTTAATTTGTTTTTCCAACAATTATTCCATTGGTTCTGGTGTAAGTCATAAAAGTTAAATCCAAATACCATACATCATGGATGGTTAATACTTATTTGCACATGTGCATTTGCACATGTGCATAGCATGTGCTCTTACACTAGTAAAACATTGTTGAAGATTAATTAGTTTTATGATGTTTTTCTGAGTAGATGTTTTATGTTAGTTGTTAGATAGGAGGTGGGGACCACAGTAGTTATGTGAGTCCAAATTTTATTATGTTTTTGAGTGTTATATATGCTGTTTTATGTTTTGCCGCCCTATAAGGGCATAGTTGT